TGAACTTTATTGAAAGAATTTATAGGCTCTATGGAAAATAAAGTATTTCAAATAAGACAGGCCAATGACTAAAGCAGTGTAACAAATTTCTTGGTCTTCTTTCAGAAATTTTTGCTTACACTTCTGATATCCTCCCCAGACTGTGGAAATACCTCATCTAAAAGTAAAAGGCTTTTCTTTATAAATGTCCAACAAATGGAATTTTGCCAGGCCTATATTGTTTCTCTGCATCTTATGTAGACTGTAGATGGCCCACAGTAAAAAGAATGCTTGCATGATTGTTCTATTGGTTTTGCTTATGTCTATCTTTTAAAACTGTATATGACAAATAGTTTTCATTATGTTCCTTTAATCTAAAGTTATGTCACTTTTTCTACAATATTAAATCTTCAGATCAATTTTTATGGCAACTGCAATTGTGTTTGTTGATCGGTTTGCAATCATAAAATTCAAAGTCACTTACTTTTAAAAAGCCCTGCCTGAAAATATATCTATTTGCAAGTGATTTGCAAGATTTTGACAACACAGATTCAAAGCTGACAAGCAGAATAACAAGACTGTCAAAAGCTTTACTGGCCAAGATACTTCAGCCTCTCTGAATATTCAGCTGAAGGCTATTATTTTGCCTTATAGTCAGTTGGTTCTAACCTGTTTACCTCTTAATTTTGATCAAAATCTAGAGGCCTCTTACAACATCTCCAGAGACAACAGGACGTTTTCTTAATCTTGGAGTGGATTGCCAGTCAATCTGTTTGGAAGTCTAGCCTTGTCCTAAAAATTCAAATTGGAAGCCCTGCAATATTAAATCTGCTCTCAGTTCTGCACACAAATTAATAGGACTCAGATGGATGAAGCTTGTACTCAGAGACTTGCTTAATTTTTTCTCTTTTTTTTTCTAATTCATTAGGCTATGCGACTCCTAACAAAACAGAGGCCACAATGCCTGTGATGCTTAGACCAGATTAGTTCAATTTGAAAGCCCTCTGAATTGTTTTGATGGAAATCTCAGTAAACACTGCCATAATAACTAGTAATTGTGAAATGAGGTGATCCAGTTCTCCAAACTCTCCCCTCTCTCTCTGCCCAGGTTATGTGTCATAACTGGTTTTTTGAGGCATGAACCAAGACACAGGTTCCATTTCGCAATCACCAAAGTTGTTGCCATGTTCAGTGTTACACAGAAGACTTTTAAAATGTAGAGTGCTACAAGAGTTAATATTATTTGTGTGTCCTGATTTGACAGCCCTGGAATTTAGTTTTCACAATGTTCCATCTTCACTCACAGAGCCTGCTGAGGCTCACAATGTCCAATGAAGAAATAGTACAAAGGGAAAATTATTGCAAAGTTCAATTTTGTGAGAACATCTAACACTGTTGTGACAGTTCAATTTCTGCTATTGAAATTCTTTTAGAAGCTTGAAAAGAAAATGTGTGACTGGTTGGCCCATACATGCTGCTGCAATTATTTAAACAACATGACAATTCTTAAGACTGTTCCATACCAAAGCCTACAGATGCAGCATTTGACCAAAAATTGTCATTTGGGAAAGTTCTTAGAAGTTTCTAAATAAGCCCTATGGTGCACTTGTATTTTGGGTGCTACTTCTGCCACTTATTAGAAGGACCAAAAAAGTACCACCAACCCTTGACAACCTGGTAAAATTCATTATGATATGTACATATTCATGTAAGTGTGTAAACATAGATAAGCAGATATACACACACACACACAACTATACCTCTCTAGAAGTTGCGTATACTTTAACAAGACAATCAAAAGAATTTACTGTTTTCCATTTTTTGTTGAGAGGCTACTTTCCCATTAAAAGTTTTTTTAATTCTCTAAATTAAAACAACTCAAAGCAGCCTTGGTGAGCTATTTCAAGTATAATGTGCTCCCCCATCACTATTAAAAAAGCACAGTAATTAAGTCCAACATGATCTCTAAACACATTCCCTACTGTCCAAAACTTCATTATTGTTCTTCACAGATATTGATGATTTTTTCCTTCTGTAACCTAAAGCACCAACACTAATTACTATTTAATGCCTCATAAAGTTATAACAAATCCCAATTGTCCAGTCTTTTAGCATGTGCCCACATCAAGTGGTCAGGCAGTCTAGAAAAACAAACAACCAAACCACTGAAAAAACAGGCATCAAAACCACCAAACCATGGCCATTCTCACTCACAAATGACATGGCATTTCCCAGAACAGTGTATACCCACCACAGAACCCTCCAAATACTTTACAAAACACAAAAATCACCAAGGATCTCTGAAACCACTTGCAAATGCCATCCCAAATTCTTGGGCTCTCCCCTCAGCCAGCATTGATGTCTGGGGCTTCACTATGTTTTCAGTGACCAGTCTGAAGCCACATCACCTCAACATGGTAAACATGAGAAATAAACACGTCTGGTCTCAACTGAATGAAAACAGACTGACTGAGAAAGCTCCCTGGCAGAGAACCAAAGAGCAGCTTTGGAAAAAAAACCCAAAAAAACAACATTATAGAGGGAATTTGCAGCAGGTGCCTTCACTTACACACTACTCAGATCCTGCCAGGTCACCATGGCCCACAGAAGAAAAACTACAAGACGCTTTTTAATTTCACATTACTTCCCATGAATATGATAACTCCATTTTAATGCCTCTTAAAAGACATTAAAGGAAATCTATTTATATCAGAAGGCCCAAGAAAACTGTGATTATGTCTCAAGGCAAAGTTTTGCAGTGTTTTTGGCTAGATATACCAAGTGAGAAATTATATCTTTTATAGATTAAAAAAGTCAAATCTAACAAGCAAGCTACTTGCTGATATCAGAGACTCATGAATTAGGAAGGGTATTTTTCATCTCTGGTTTTTAGTATTGGTAAGGATTTATTTAAAGTTTCACCAAGAAGCAAAATTCCCAATGAAGCATATGATTTACACTTAAGAAGAGAGAGTAAAATAATAATGATTTTCTTCTGTAGAGTTTTCAGTATTAACAGACTTACTTTAACTGCAGTTTTACCTATTGCTTCATCCTTTCCAAATTAGATTCTCCAAGTGAAAAAAACAAAAGGTGTAATACTCTACTAGGATCACACGTACAGTTCCATTAGTGAATGAAAGTTCAATATTCAATAAAGCAAGGGAGGAGATCAACATTTATATTATGTAAAATTATTTGGCTCTGGGACAAACGAGGCAAAACCTTCCCTAATTATCTAATTATAGCACACATATTAGCAAGCAGTGACACAGCTTATACAGGAACACAGTATGGGGCTGCTCCTTCACAATTTGCATCCTTTACCCTTAATGATATCAACTGAAAGCAGTATTCAGAACATCTTCATATATGAAAGTCTTTCCAAGCCAGAAGAAGACACACACAAAAGCCAGATTCCTCTCTCCCAGACAATTCCACATTCCAGCACTTGACAGTATTGCCAACACATGAGCATTACACACACCAAGTAAATAGTCACCCTCCTCCAGAACATACCTCCTGAGTGTAACTTAGATCTACCTTTCTTCTTACCTATGGTATGTTTACTATGAGTCTCAGGATGTCTCTCCAACACTGACTTCCTTTTTACCATTGCTTCCTTGAAATAACACAGGCTGCCACCACCACCAGATACAAGTAAATAAATCAAACTTTCAACTTTTCAAAGCAAATGTTTTGATAATGCAACTCTTCACTTGTGCTAATCCAAAAAACAACACAGAAGAGGAGACTGAGAAGAAAAGCCTTTCCCAGATCTAGGCTGGAAAAACCTACCCCAGCCTGCAGCCTTAATCAGCAGCAATCACCGATAACCTCTGGCACCTGAGCTTAAACCAAATGAGAAATGAAACACATTGTACTCCTTCAAGACTTTTTAAACTGTGGTATTTTTTCTACATCATTTCTGGTTTTTAATCATCCCTAAAAATGAAGTCAAGCAGTTTCAGAGAGATAAAGACAACTCTTGCATACCCATTGAGATTTTACACAAAAAAAAAATTTCAGTTTTGCTTTTGTGAAGAATATGATTCATAAGAAAATAAAAGATATTGTAGTGAGTGGGGTTTTTATTGTTTAAAACCAAACATGGAATATGAAATAGCAGATGTTTGGGCAAAGGAAAGAGCTAAGGTAATGCAACTCTTTCAAGTATGGCTAAGACTATGGTCAGGCTGTGGTGATTACTAAATTATTATAAAAATATATCACTAACATTCAGGGTTTCTTTTTCATATCAATTCAATATCATACATTCTAAGAGAAAATTTGATCCATTATTGCTTAGTTAGGAGTAAATTACATTATTAATATTTTATCAATATATTGCATTGCATTATAATAATATATATACATTTTTTCTCTTTATTTTAGAATACATCAAAAAATCCCAGATAACAAAAGAGAAATGAAACAACATTGTAATTAAGAGCAACATCAACAAGAGAAGGAACATACAGCAGAAATTTAATCCTGATATTTAGAGACAAAACTATTCACTGCAAATCCTTACTGCTATGGATTAACAAGGAATAAATATAGGTAGAGGACAGAAGTGATTACAACATACTCCCTTCAACATAAAAATTACTTTCCAGAGAACCAAGTTACAATATTTTTTATTTGAAAATCTCAGAACAAGGCACAGCAGCACCACTTCCCAGAAGAGTTTTCAGTAGTTTAATCTTGTAACCTAATCATAGTTTTCAAGTTGTCATCTGCATAGGCACGCAAAGGAGGGTCAGTATACAAGCAGGAAACCTTTCTCTCTTTCTGCCTCTCAGGGAGGGAAATTGGTGGAGCTGAGCTCCTTCAGCTGCTCTGGATACAAGTGGAGTGACCCCTGCACATCATTTTGCAGAGAGTTCAACTCAGCATCTTTAGCATATGCAAGATTCACTTACAGCAAAGAATAACTGCATTATCTGCCTAAACATTAATAAAATATGATTTCCTATGATAATTTAGGAGCTCTGTTACTCCTCACTGCTAAAACCAACCTGCAATCACGTCCTTTATTTGGTTTGTGGTTGTGGAGACATTTGTGTATCCAGGGGCCTTTGCAAACAGAGGCTTGAACAGCAGCTGGGACACCTAACAAGATACAGACAAAAGGCATCATTTATAGATTAAACTAATTTTTATGAACCCTGAGCTCCTGTTTGCATGCTACCAATGAATTCTAGAAGTTCTGTAGCCCACATTACCTGATTATATTTTTTCTGTAATCTGTTCCCCAAGCAAGGTCTCTCCTTGTCTCATCAATAGACCTGCAAGATTCAATAGAGGATGTCTGCATTGTGCCTGTAGAGCTGAGCTCTCCTAAGCCTTTATTGCAGCTTTGCCTCAGAATGGCCTGCAAGGTACAGGAGTGCTGCTGAGCCAAGCCAAAGTGCAAAGGAAACCAAGCAATATATTCAGGAATGTATTGGAAGTATTCAGTAGCACAGCAAATCTAGTTTGTGTCTTGAATTCTAGAAAGGGTCTTACCCGTGGAATTTGCTTTTTCTTCTCTGATTTTCTGTCTGGTGAAAAACTGAGTAATCATTTTATTTCTCTCTTTAGGGAAAAAAAAAAAAAAAACAAAACCAAACCAAACCAAACCAAACCAAAACAAAACAAAAAGAAAAAAACACAAAAAAACAAAACAAAAAAAAAAAAACCACAAAAAAACCCCAAACCCAAAAACCAAACCAAACCAAACAAAAAAAAACCCCAAAAACCAAAACCTCAATAAAAACTACCTCTGTGCTTGCAACACATATGGAATGCAATAAAGACTAAATTTTAATTCATTTCCAAAATAATAGTGGTTTATTCTATTTAGGAAATATACAAAATTAAGGACAGAAAAAGGTGTTATTTGACAAAAAATACTTCTCCCAGTTTTCACAGCTTTTCACTTTCATATAAATTTGGCTCCCAGTACTGTTTAAAGCCTATGTTATATACTGGCTCTCTTCTGTTAAGAAAATAACTGAATTTCACACCTTATACACCATCATATCAAAGAGAACCAAACTAGAAATAAAAAAAAATAAAATTAATTGAATTGCTGTCCTATTAGTGTTTGGGAGTCTCTGTCTTTCCAATTTCCTTTAATGAAGTGGCATAGATCAGACCAGGCATAAACCCATTATTTCTTTTAAGTCACAGAACAACCTACCTCCAACCTTCCACTTTAGCAGAGGCTCAGCAGTGTCTTTGTGGCATGGTAAACAGACCTGGAATATGAAAGCTGAAGTGTGATTGTGTCACATAAACAGTGAGCATGAAGACAAATGTGGCTCTCTATGACAGAACTATTGAAAGAGGGAAAATAAATTTTGTCTATTCCATAGGACTCCTTTGTTTTATCCAACCTGTGAGTGGCTCTACTGAGGGAAGTCTCATCTTAGTGCCACTGCTGATAACTCCCATTCAGTGACCTCAGTACCACTGGGAGAGAGCACCTCAGTAGGCCTGCTGGTAGGAATTAAGAACTAACATTGGTGTGTTTTTACTCAGTTTGGAAGTGTAGAATTAGAAAAACAGGCTCACAACCATAAAGATGTCACTCATGTTGCTGCCTGGCAGCTGCACTCATTTACTTGATCTCATTGCTTTTTGGCAATAGACTTCTCATGCTACAGCTTTCCTTTTTCCTTGTGGGACTTTCATGGCAGGCCAGAATTTTCCCCTGGCATTGACATTTTATTACCAATCCATTATCCATTACCTTCCTGCCACGTGCAGACTTCAGAAAAACCTTGTCTGGGATTTGGCACTCTACCCAGTGCCTGATAAATGCTATAAACTTTATTTCTTCTCTTGTGGTGCAAATTGGAAAAATATGGCATGCAGTTATGCAAGCATGACACTGTCCTCAGCTAAGGCTGCTTTTCAACACAAAATTCTCCAGACAGAACTGAAATAATTTAGTGTCTCTAAAAGCAGTGCTAAAATAAAGGGGGAAAAAGAAAAAGTGGCAGTTTTCCTGGAAATGTTTGTTTCCCTGAGCACACAAAAAAGTTTATATTTTGAAAATAAAACTTCTCATTATAAAAACTTTGAAACTCTGCCTTTAAACCAGTAATGTGTCATCCATTTCTGAGTGGACTGAACTTCAAAACCAAAGAGATTCCTTTGAAGACAAAAACCTTTCTGCAACTTTGTCTTGAGTACAGAAAAGGAAAAGAAACAAAGGTTAAAAGATAAAAGAGAAGGAAATCTGGACTAGAATAGCAGAATTGCTGTCATCATCTGACTAGATATGAGATGTGCTCATTGTAGAACATATTTTATTCCCATTAGTTTGCACATTAGGTTGTTCTGGATACCAACTAACAACCATATTTGTCCATAACAGCAGATAAAAAAAATGAAATTAATTGCAATAACAAGACCTCTACTTAAAGGAAAAAAAATCCTAATGAATAGGCTTAAAAATCTCCCTGATGTTAATAAAAAGTGTGAAAATGTTGCTGTTTAAGTATTTTAAAAACTGCATCTTGCATTTTAAGTATTCTTTCCTGTAATACATGTGCCACATTCTCTTTCCTTCCCAATTACCATATTCTTATTCTGTTGCTTTATGAAGTTATACTGGAGAAAATAGCATGAAATAGTCCCAGGTTACACCTCCTGTGGTTAAAACAGTTACCAGTAAACTAACAGCAGTGCATCTGTGAAGAAGACAGTGAAAAAGCCATCCCCTCTGACTTAAAAACTGCATTCATGTTAGCAGGTTTGAAGCACAGGTACTCCGGAGAGCAAATAGTTTGGTTCCCTGTCATCCAAAATTGGTACACTTGTCTAACATAGCAGATGGTCGCTATGTCATCAAATACCTGAAATTCTCAAATTTCAAATACTTGAAAACCAAATACTACAAAATACTACAAAACCAACCATGCAAACACTGAACAGTACTGAGCAGCACATGAGGAAACCCCTGTGCACGTTCTGTCTTTGTCTTACCTTCCCTCCATTATCACGGCAAGTCCAGCTTGTCCTTTGAGATAAATAATTTCACAGCTTCAGGATTACATTCAGAAGGCCTGGGAGGACCAGCAAAGATGGTCCTAATGAAACACTGGATCAACTGCTGTTGCTGGTGTGAATCACTCCAACAGATTTTGTAATCATTTGCTCTTTGGAGTCCCTAGGATGCTCTGAAAGTACAGTCACTAATGAGACCTCCATAAAAAGGCTTGGGATGAAAACAGATTTAGGAGAGGTTTTTCTTCTTATTTTACACAGAAATTCAGTGGTTCAGTGTTCACCCAATACTTTCTGTCACTCCTCTGCCCAGACAAAAACAGTCATTGAATGATGGCAGGAGACAGACATGTACAGACAGAAACACACACACCATCAAATATAAGAAAGTGGTTCTTTAGTTTCATAACCATAACACTTAATAATGTCAAGGAAAAGAGAGGTTTAAGTGACTCCTAAAATTAACATTTGTTTCTGCAAAATCTAGCAATTCCAAGCTGAGAAACTGGGAAATAAGGATCCTAGACTGCCCACTTTTCCTGACATTCTTTAAGACATGAGAGAAATAACTTTAAAACCTTCTAAGCCATTCTAAGTCAAACAGAAGGTAGTTGAAACAACATCAATTTTATTCTAGTAAATATCTCCAATGCTGAACTTTTGTGAAAAAAAATCTGTTCACCTAAGCGTATAGCTCCAAAACTCTGTAATAGATTCGCATTTCCTTCAAAATCAACAGCTACATGCTGTTGAACCAGGGTGCAGAAATCTCTTCTTACTTCCAGGCTGGCTACTAGACTACATCCTTTCAACTCACTGGTTGATACAAATATCATTCTGAGGCACTTTACTTCATCTGGGATGCTATTTTTTTTTTAAACCACAAAAAATACACAATGGAATATTTTTATAAAAAATTTTGTACCTTAAGATTAATGCCATACAGGCAAGACTCTGGAAAGATTGTTAGGGAGATGGATGCTCCCTTCTGAAGTATTTTGCTTCACCCCTGAACAGTGATACACTCGTTTGTATCTCTGACATCCTGAGCAGGGAATCTTTCCTCTCTATAAGCATGGATAAGCATCAATGCCCTGATCATCAGCAGAGCTCTAACTGCTCTGGAATGCTGCAGCACAGCACATGCACTGTGATTTGGAGCATGCTACCTCTCCTCCTAAAACGTGGGGTTATGCCTATCTGATTAAATACTAACTCACAAGATGTTTAACTTTCTGCTAAGTAATATGAGTTCTTTGGTCACTCTATGGATATCTCATGATCTATGACAGTTATAGTGGCAGAGTGTGAGTGGTTTTGCATATTATTTGAGCAAAACTATTTGATTGCAAAGCTAAAAAAATATACAGCATTAGCAGACTTTAGGGAAAAAAAAAGCACCATAGCACACAAACCAGTATACCAATCCTATTTCCGAGATTTATTGGAGAAAATAACAGGGAAGTGAATACCACGCAGGTGGATCATTTGTCTGGGATTAAAAGCAAGATAGTAAATTCACAGTATAGTAAATCATCCAAGTAGCTGCCAAACCTTCTGACATAAGAGATTGGAATTTCTAAGTAAAACTAAAAAGAGTCACTCCATTAAAAAGCAAGAAGAAATCAGGAATGGATTATCCTAAAACAGCAAGCTTAAACTCTCTGGCACCACATATTCAAATGCTCTCACTAATTCAGCCACTCCAAATACTCATTGGGGGAATAAATTCAATGTTGTGAATTCAATTGTGACTAAATCTCGCAGAATTACAGCATAATTTTAAAAAAAGGTAACAAAATAAATATATTTTCTTAATTTTTACATGATTATTAACAGTCCAGTGACAAGTTTTTAAACAATAATGATTTTTTTGCTACTCTCTAGCATCTTTATCATTATACTGCCACCTCTTCTCATTCCCAGAAGTGTCTACTTTTGAAAAGTGTCTTATTTCTACGAAGTAAAGTATTCTGGATGAAACTGCAATTGAAATAAAAATATTGTAATTGTTACAAAACTTACAAGTCTGAACAGGATTTTCATATGGAAATTTACAAGGAACATTGCAAAAGTGAGAAAATCAGAAATAACTGAAAATGAAAATATCCAGAAAGAAGTCCTACATATGTAGGAAAGAAGAATAAGAGAAAATCACAAGTAATATCAGACATGAAGGCAAATAGATTAGATTTTTGTCACAGGATGTTCTCACTATCTAAGATCTAGCTACAGTTACAATTCTCAACATTCAATTTATTCCCTTTTATCACAGGATTAATTCTATAGCCATAGTAAACCAAAATAAAAGTTTTATTTTCCTCTCCATCTGAAACAAGTTGCAGGTCTAATACTTTCAATCTTTCTTTTACATATTAGCACCCATACAGTTTGGGACAAAACTCTGGAAGATCCTAAACTCATAACTCAAAATAGGACATCAAAGTGGAGCAGGAAATATAGACTGGTAATAGAGGGACTCACTAAGGAAAGAAGACAAATATACTGAAATTACTATTCTGTTTCCAAGAGCAGCATGTCACATTCATGATGTCAGCACAAGAGCTGCATACAGAATTTAGGACAGCAGAAAGCATACGATTTGTTGAAGCAGTTTTTCCCTCCATAATTGTAAAATGATATAAATTTAACAATTTATTCTTCTGATTATAAAGCCAGCCATATTGCAGGTCACATACCTTCACATATTAGACATGTCAACTATAGCCTGGAAAATGCCACAGTCTAGAATTAACTGTTGTATTTAAATTGTTGTTCCATGACTTGTGTCTTTATTGAAGTTTTTGACTGATAAATAAGCACACCATTAGTGTACAAAAAAAGTGGATGTTTTTATTTTTCCCATGCTCAAAAGTCTGTTAAGCTGGCCTGTCCTGTTTGCTGATTAGACTCAACTATCTGCAAATTTAATCTTCATCTTCACATCATAGAAACCAAAGAAAATGTCATTTTTTTTCCTGTGGATTGCCATAATGAACCAGAGTTACTCTCCAGAAGAGAATAACTCTTGTCAACTACTTAATAAGTGCCTCACTGATGGCTCAGTGGCCTTCCTGGTGCAGTGCAGCATGCAGACTTTCTTGGTGTGCATTTAGGATGGCCATGTGTTGTGGTTTAACCAAGGTGACTCACCTGTGGTTTTGCCAATTGTGAGCAGTGTAAGGTCATCCTAAGTGAGTACTAATAAAACATTACAACACCTCTCATTCACATGAATTCTCTATGCAACACATAGAACTTTGGAGAAGCATTTTCTCAATGTTTAATTTTTGGAAGAAATTATGCAGTTGTCTGTGTTGGCTGAGATCTATCTTATGGAAGACAGGACTAGGAGGTGGGGTAAAATCATTGTGTTATACACATTTTGCTTCTCTAGTGTTAGAACTGGTGGGTGCAACCCTGCCTTGTGCCAAGTGCTAATAATTGTGCCAAACCAGACCTGCTTTTATGCCAGTGGACAGGAAATTGCTGTCAAAGGAACTTTTATAGTATTCTGTTTGCATAATGAGATCTCATAAACATCAAGGAATACACTTGAGCCTGAATAAACATGGTGAAATCTTGTCTCCATTGGGATTTTTGCCACAGATATCAGAGGAGGCAGGATTTGAAACTGCTGTGTTTAAGACTGCTTTGCTTCAGAGGCTGTAATGCCTGCCCAGAGATTGTGAAATTATAGCAGGAATACCAGGCTGAAAAATAACACTTGTTTTAGTGTGATGAGGGATATTTTTGATTCAAAGAGTTATGTCGTTCTGGGAGCTTTTATTCACTGTCTGCAGCTAGCCCTGCTCAAGAAAATGGCAGCCAACTTCCTCAGGACTCTGAGTACATCTCGTTGGATCCCATAGACTTATGGACATTCAGGTTTCTCAGGTGGTCATGTACTGGATCTTTTCTTACAGTGGGAAAGACATCGCTCCCCCATCCTGCCATCCATCCACTTGAAAGGAATGGGAAGAGAAGCTGCCATTGAAGACTCAATTGAAAAAGCTGTTGAGTACCTCAGCCTTCTCCATTTTTACCAGTTTGCCAGTATCATTCATCAGGAGGGCACACCCTCTTTGACATTCTTCTTCTACAAGTTTACATACCTGTAGAAGTCCTTCCTGCTATTCTTTGCCAAGTACATGACCATACATCAACTCTACACCCTTCCCAGGCCACCTGTCCTCTGCCTGTGCATTTGCTTATTTCCCTTCAGTGTGACCAGCAGTTCCCTACTCTGCCATTCCAGTCTCTTACCTTGCTTGCCCAACTTCTTGGTCCTGGGAATTATGACGACTTGCATTTTATGGAAGACATCCTTAAATATCCGCCAGCTCCAATTCACTCCCTTGTCCCTGAAGACAATCTCTCAGGGGATCCAACTGACATCTCCTTAAACAGCTAGAAGTTTACTTTCCTAAAGTTCAGGTGCCAAACTCTAATCCTTGCCTGACTCCTATTCTTTAGGACTGAAAACTCCACCAGGCTGCATTCAGTCTTGAAGTCCCTGACTTGCTCCCTTATGTTGCTGACCATCGGATCCAGCACTGCCTCCCCTCTGGTAGAAGTCTCTTGGATTGCGTGGAATTATTTTTCAATAATTTTTCTTCTGCCTTAGAGATCTGCAAAAGATTAAATAAATGTAAGAATTCAAGAAAGGACATTTAAAGGCCAAATAAAAGGTCTGAAAGTTTGGGAAATATATTTTGTTCTGCAGCATGAATATTACTGCATGATAATACAAAAATATGTGCCAAATTTTTCTATAATTCAACTCAATATAATTCAGGAATATTTAAAAGTATTAGTACACTTTTTAATTTATACACATTCAGCCATAAAGAAAAAGCAGCTCATATATTTAACATATGTTTTCATATCATTCTGGAAGAAATATTCAAATGACTCTTTGCCAGATAAGAACTTTATTAAAAATACACTTAGACATAAGCATGGTATTTTAAGTCTTTCAAGAAGAAAATACACTCATCTGTTATCATAGATATAAAGAATATTACTGGCAGCAGCGGCATGTCCTAAGAGTCCTTGCTAAAGAATGAAATTTACACACTTTGATGGGCCACTTGATGATATGTCACTTAAATGTTAAAAAAATCACCAAGACATAACTAAAAAGAATTATTTCATTTAATTAGCAACCCTGGAGAGAGAAAGCTTGCATCTATTTTCTTTAGCAGGATTATTTTTAAAAGGTGAACATGGGTTGACAAAGACTTCCAGCAGTAAAACAATAGAGTATATTCTAGAGGAACAGCCAAGATGAACAAGAGGAATGGCAATGGCAATTAATTTCTATTCTGATATGAGAGACATTACGGTCACGCACGCACACTTCCATTGATCCTTAAAACACCTCATCTAATCCCACACCAGCAATATTGAATTATTCAAATAATGCACTGATCTATCAAAAGCTTCAATGGACTATGTCAACTGAAACCTTGATTTAGTTGATGAAATTAACAGGGGGGAAAGAGGACACGCACATATCAGTGGCATGCAACAATCTAGAGAAAGAACAGCTTTTCTGAGTCACAGAAAATGTGCACCTAGTCCTGTGTCTTCAACACCTTATGCTAAGGCATAAGGGAGGTGTGAGTAAGTAAAAACACTTTATTGGTACATCTGTCCCGTTCCTCAAGAGTTTCTCTAAGCCACACAACTACTTCATTACAGAGCAATGCTGCAGACATATTTTCAGACTTCAGGCTAAATTGTCAATCATACTGTGGATGCACATATTTATTTTCAGTTAACTTTGCAATATTTATTTTCAAATTATTTACACAGTTATAAAAACAACCACATTAGCTGGAAATCTGATTAAGCAAAGGATACCAGCATATTATGATCTGGTTGAAGGATCTGGGATTACTAAAATAACAGCATTAAAATATGAATACAGATATTGGTATTATGAGTGGATACAAAGTGAAGCCCAAATGTCCTAGCTTTTTTTAGGTTCAGTAAACTTGCAGAAGATCACATTCTTACCTGAACACTGATTTAGTGTTTGAGCTTACTCTTTAATTCCACTCCCATTACTTTCATGGAAGTTCACTTTTTGTTTCCCTGCACTGTTTTTTCACATTATTTTCTCCCTCTAATGTAGAACCGTAGTTTTACATTAGAGAGAGAAAATAATGTACTATTACATTATTAGTCATGTTATTGATATTTTTCCAGAGCAGACCAAGAAGTGGCAAAGGTTAATGTCCCATTATGCTGGGCATAGCGAAAAAACATGCACAGCTCCTGAGCTTACAGGTTTCACTGTTGTAATGGAATACAATTCAAGCAACAGAAAAATGCAGAAAGTACTTACAAGAACCTGAGTCACAACAAAGATCTGCCTAGTTCATATTTTGCTCCTGACAGTGATTGAATGTGGACGTCCAGGAAGAGCAGAAGAACAGAGCGAGCACTCACAATACTTCCCATGAGTTTTCTTCCAGCCCTTAATCACAGATGTCACAGTTCCTGTGTTTCTAAATACTCTGATTACTATGCAAAGAGAAATTCAAAATCCCAATGTTTTCAAATTAACAAGCTAAAATTTAGTCTTGTGAACATTTATATTGATCCTCAAAAGCATTTCCATATACTTCACCAAAGCCTTTGGAAAACATTGATTCAAAGTATCAACTCAGGTTTTTCTGAACAGGAAAATATTGCAGTCATTGTTGACATAGGAATGTAATATCACAGGTTATTCGGACTCAAGATTAATGAAATTATTCATAGAGTCATAGGATGTTTTGGCTTTGTCATAGGCCTTGTAAAGCTCATCTAGTTCAACCTCTGTGCAGTGAGCAGGGACATTGTCAACTAGACAGAGCCCAGAGCCATGGACAGCCTGACCTTGAATGTTTCCAGGGACCTTCCAACATTTTTTAGCATAAATTCATGCCCCCAGGTCCTCTCACTACATGCTCATGTAAAATGTTGATTTCCAGCTCTCTTCTAGGCCCCTATAGGTACCTGAAAGTGCTCGAAGGTCACTCTGGCTGAACAACCCCAGCTCCCTCAGCCTGTCTCCATAGCAGAGGTGCTCCAAACACCTAATGAACTCTTTTTTGTTTGTTTCTATAGGTCTTTCTCATATACACCCTTAGGAAATGAATTTATTTAGATAACTTTTCTAAAACTATTTAAAGGCCTTAACAATCTAATTGAGGTATTTCTGAAAATCTTATTACTCAGAAGAGACAATAACATGCAAATAAAGAGGGTTTTTAGATAAGAACAGCTGGACTTTGAGGCAGCACAAAAAATATATAACATTTTTGACAACTCTAAAGGAAATCAGAAAAAGTCACCACTATACAACTTCAGTGTTCAGATATATTTTATAGTATTTTAATCTGGACATGCTTAACTAACTTCAAAGAGTTCTTTTATACCTTGATATAGACTAACAAAGCACCTTATCTGTGATTATCAGTCTAGCATCACTCATTTCAGATATTCCAATAAGACCTGAAAATTGCAACAGAAAAAAATTAGCTAGTGATAGAGCTTGTGGATGCATCTGAGACTTCATAGGTTTGTGCAGATCTGCAGAGCTACCCTATGGCATAGCAAATTGATTTCCACAGGTTCCTCAGTATCCTCTACTGTTCATCAAGGCCTCAAGATAATACTGTCCATAGCTGGAAGTCAGAACAGATGTAGCACACTAATCTGGAAATAGCTGGTTTCTGATTATGAGTTTTAACAGGTTTATTTTACACTCCTGAATTTAAATAATTATTAGATTGCAAGCCTTGGAATAGAGCTTAGTTGAACATTGAGATCAAATCAAAAGGGCAAGGATGTCAGAAATTAAAACAGATATAAATCATCCTGCAAAAAAAAAAAAAAAAAAAAACCCAAGTAAGTAACACTTTTTCTTCTCAAAAATATAGCTTTTTTTTTCTATTGCTGCTGGCAACCAGAGTACATATTCCCTTGCTCCCTTCAGAAACTCCCACTTCTCTGTTCTATACCTCAAGAGTATGGTAAATGCGTTGCAAATATCTCAGTACTCGGTTCAGCTGTAAAAACAGCCATTTAGTTCACAAATGCAGAGACTACTCAGTTTTAAATATGATCTTTTTGCTTCTAGGATGCAGATCCAAAGCTACTGTTCCTCTGTGCATGTGCATGTGTAAGTAAGTACACGTGTAAGTGCCTGCTCACTGTCCAGTGAAGGAACGTGCATTGAACTGGCAAATGTAAAGAGGGTTCCTAATGAGGTAACTCCCCTGAGAAATAAATATACTGCCTCATAACTCAGCTCTCTCTTGGCAGATTGCTCCATAAATCTGCAGAAATCAGAGGAGCAGCATCACGAGACAACACCAGCAGGGAGAAAGGGCTGTTGTGTGGTCACACTCCAAAGCAGAGGAAAAGTGAGCTGTGTTGGACGTGAGCAGTTGTGAGGAGGCAGTAAGGTCAGGTAATCAGTGCCATTTCCATGGGCTCATTCTCCGGACTTCTCCACATTTTGCATAGGTTATTTCTGGTCTGATTTTTTCAGCCTTACACGGATGAATGCAATAATTTCTTATGAGAACTTCGCATAAACTGAGATTCAAATATCATTGAAATTGATGTCTGCCAAGAATAATATCTTACTGGTGCTAAAGGCTCTGATAACTTATATTTTTCAAACAATCATTTATATGCATCACAGACATATCTCAGAGAAAAACTAGGTTTTCTGCTTTAATCAGTATTAAATCAATGTTATAAACACAGAGATATTTATTACTTTCCCCTAAAAAGTTATTTCTTTAATATTTAAAATTTAGCCAAGGTATCTGGATTTACTTTGGAACTTTTAAAAATCACAAAATTTATAAAATATTAAGAACTGACTTCCAAGTTATTGTTTGAAAGAAGAGACAACGTTACTGTGCAAGAAAGGCAAAGCATTTCTTATGAGCAGCAGGCAATTGAGTTGTAGGTTAGTGCCAAATTGAAGCTTCAAAACCAATCAAAATTGTGCAAGTCTACAGTCTCGTAATCTCCTGCTTTATTGTCCATCATCCTATTTCTGTGTCTTGAAAGTTCCAAGACAACTAGTCCATTTGGCATTATTTCCTCAGGCACAAATCAAGATTTAGTCCAAACTTGTCAAAGCAGAAATTTTTAAGACAACAATTTTCCCCTACAGACATCCAGAATTATGAAAAATATACTCTAACTTTTCACTAATGACAGTTGGGAAAAATGCAGTGTTGTTTCTGCCATAGTTTGCTCTGCTGTCAAACATTGTCTGAGTACACTCCATACCTATCCCCATGTGTGCTTCCTAAATAGCTTTGGAACTCACAGTCTGATTTCAGTGGAAATGATACAAAAGTTTATTGATCTCAAAGATTATTATGTTTCCATACATTCTGTAAAAATATAAAACTGAGGATTGAGATCAGATCCTGCAAGTTGGTGGCTGAAGAAAAGGCTGCAGTAGGAGATCACAATTTTCATGACACCTAAGAATCTGCATGCCAGCACTTATAAATATTCAGTTGTAAGAAAAGCCACAGGATTTTCGTACCTTAACCATCAAGGCCAAACAACCACAAGGCACCAGTCCATGGGAAATGGGGCTTCA